CGGCGCCACCGCGTTCCAGCCCGCAGGCCTTGACGACGCCGCAGCAGGCGCCGCCGCCAAGGGGAAGCGGGCCCCCGACGTCCACCTCGTGAACCCGACCGGGTTCAACGGAAAGTGGGAGCTCTTCACCGACAACACCGGGGTGTGTTCCATGCACGCCATCCTGCTGCCCAAGGTAACAACAAAAGATGAGTCGTGAAATGCGAAACCCTAGAAAGATTTTGTGTTTCTCGTTCATACCTGGGTTTAAATAAGCAAAAAATCTTGGCACTATAAGACAGATCGTACCAGAAGCTTGCTTTTGGAGAACGATTAACTTATGAAAAAAAACATAACAACTCAAACTGAAACCTATATAACTAAACATTGACAATGAGACTAAAGCTGCTGATGATGATAACTTCCTCTAAACCTTGTAATATCTCCTGGTACAAGGTGAACAAGGTTTTGATGTACGACGCCACGATCTGGAGGATATCGAAGATCCTCCTGCCCAACGGACAGTGTCGTATTCTAGACGAGAAGACAGGGGAGAAGGATTGCTTTGCTCACTCCGTTTTGATGGACATGACCACCGCCCAACTCACTCCACTTGAGGTAATAACTCGATCTCAACTTAACCTTCAAAAGCTCTTTATCAAAACCTATGGTGATTATTACTCGATGGTTAAAAGTGGGGTTGGCATGTTTTTATTGATAGCTAAAAACTGATACATGGTGTTCGTCTGGAGGCTTGACCCTGGAGGGTAACCTTGTGAGCACCGGCGGTTTCCAAGGAGGAGCTAACACGGTGAGATACTTGGACACTTGCCCAGGCTGCACTTGGAGGGAATACCCCACCGCTCTCGCTGCTCCTAGATGGTAAGGATATCATGATCATAACATTCTTTTCTTTGCCTAGATCTTTAGCTACAAAACTTAGGCTATAGTCAGTGGTGTAGCCAGATTTTAAGTTCGCGCTGCAGGGTACTTAAACATTTAATAACACAAGAGTATGTGTAGTTAATGAACTTGAATTGATTGTGGTCATTATGTGAGGCTAATATTGATAAGAGTATAGGATTCTAAACTTGAAGGATCATATGCTAAACCCTATGTATATGAAGTTTTTTATTGGCCCATTTTTTTTTTAATAACCTTTCACAAATTTTGAGTATATTCGTTCTTCTTCGTTCGCCCTTCGGGCTCACGTATAATAAACCTTCACAGTGTAGTAAGGAAGAAGCAAAACTGATACAACTTTGAAGGCTTTCCCCTAATCTGCAGCACAACTTTTACTGTCATATCTTCCAAAACCAAATTGTGTATCGTTCGTTTTGCAGCTCCTACTACATTTGTCCTTTACCATATTTACTATATTTTGTATGTTTCGAAATATTTTATGTGTCTTTGTGGGAAAAATAGGTACGCAACCCAGGCCCAGATGCCGGACGGAAAGATGATTGTGGTCGGCGGCAGAGACGCCCACAGCTATGAGTTCATCCCACCGGAAGGCCAGCACAACGCGGCGCCGATCAAGTTCGACTTCCTGACCCAGACCACCGACAAGGACGAGAACAACCTCTACCCCTTCGTCTACCTCAGCACCGACGGCAACGTCTTCATCTTCGCCAACAACCGCGCCGTCCTTTTGAACCCCAACACCAACCAGATCGTGAAGGAGCTGCCTCCGCTTCAAGGCGGCCACCGGAACTACCCGGCCTCCGGGCAGTCTGTCCTCCTCCCACTGAAACTCCACTCCGGCAATCAGGGCAACGTCGCCGCCGAGGTCCTCATCTGTGGTGGCTCTGCCCACGCCGATTCCTACACCAAGGCCGCCGAGAACGTGTTCTACGCCGCTCTCCAGGACTGCGGCCGGATGCGGATCACCGACCCGAACCCGGTCTGGAAGCGAGACCTCATGCCCTCGCCCCGTCTCATGGGTGATATGTCACTTTTACCCTCGGGCGAGGTCCTGATCCTCAGCGGCGCGAAAAGAGGATCTTCTGGATGGGGTTTCGCCCGGGACCCCAATTTCACACCCGTCCTCTACAATCCACGTGTCAAGCGAGGAGAGAGGTTCAGAGAACTCGCTCCGACCACCATCCCCAGGATGTACCACTCCACCGCCACCGTTCTCCAGGACGGCAGGGTCCTGGTCGCCGGCAGCAACACCAACAACGGTTACATCTACGACGCGATGTTCCCGACGGAGTTGAGGGCGGAGAAGTTCTCGCCACCTTACCTGGACCCCGCGCTCGAGAAGTTCAAGCCCCAGATCGACCCGGCGGCGACGCCAGAGAAGCTCGGGTTCAACCAGAAGATCGCCATGCAGTTTAAAGTGAACCAGGTCGAACCGGTGAAGCAGGAGAACATCAGGGTGACGATGTACGTGCCGGCGTTCACCACCCACAGTGTGTCGATGAACATGAGGCTGTTGGACTTGGGCTTGGAGGCGGTGAAGCCCAATGGGCCTGGAGTCTATAGCATCGATGTTTGGACCCCTCCCAACACCACGATTGCTCCTACAGGGTATTACTTGTTGTTCGTTGTTAATCAGGGGGTGCCGAGTGAAGGGATCTGGGTTCAGATTAAGTGAGGATGATGCATTTGGGGCTAATTTGTTTTTTAAACATTTCAGATCATTTGTTGCTACTAATTGATTTAAAAATATAATTTTATTTTCATTGGAAACTTGCTTTTAATAATGTATTATGAAAAAAATATCCTCTTACTAATTTCTTAGCAATTTTTTGGTATTAAGCACGAGTCTGACTAGCCAAACAAGACACACCTCGCGCTCGACTTATTTAAGCTCATTGATTAAATATATAAAGTTAGACAAATAAGCAAATCATGTCATCCATAATGAATACGAAAAAATAGCATATGGATCGATAATCTTTCAATACCGAGAACTTATAATTTTAGGGGCCTGCTATTATCGTTATGAAATTACTTCGTCCTGAAAAAATACTAAAGAAATTTACCCTCTTGTCATTTTTTTTTTTTACTTTTGTTTCTCTTATTTTGATATGATAAACACACCACACTTCTCCACTCTTCCTCTCTTCCCTTACCATTGCCACCGCCAGTACTTCCAAACATGACTAGCAACGATGAATAGGTATATTTGGCGGAAAAGATCGAACCTGACCATTCTGAGGCGAAAGCGAGGGTGGAGTTCAGATGGTTTGAGGCTGGATCGAAATCGGTCCTTGATATTACAATATGCGAACCGACACTCATCCTCAATGAACACCTCAACCACACCGAAAGCTCATTCCGAACGACGTTCAACAAAGTAGCCATATTCGTGAATATCCATCCCACCACTTCATTGATTGGATATGTGGAGGATAACGCGAATATCCAAAAAAAAAATTGATGATGAATTTCGGTTTCAATCTTGTAGACCTTTATTTGTTCCCTTTTGATTATTTCGAATCCACCAAAGGGAGAAAAGGGTTTCGTAATCATGGTGTCCCATAGTGACTGATTGCAAAAGCTGTGCCATTATTAGACTTACCAAGACCTTCAACACATTTTTTATTATGCTAAAGTTGGTAGAAATGAACACCTAATATCATGGGTGATACATCCATAAGAAAATATATAGGTGGCGATTGTTACATTATAGGATTATTATTACTAGAAAATTATGTGTGGGCCAAAGAGGCAAAGATTTATTTTTTAATAATCAAGTTAGTTGGCGTCGTTTTATATAAGGAAAATCTTCAAAACGTGTGGAGGTAGGAAATAAAACTAGAAGTGACTGTCCATAATGTCTCACGACACCAAAAACATTATGTAAATCCACATTCCGTAAATCCTATCCTACCAAGAAAAGAAGATCTTGCAAAATGGAGACAACCATATAAAACTAAATTACATGTTTATTACTAATATTGTTGCTCTGATTTTTGAAAAGAAATTATTTACTCGTTAGTCATTTGTTTTAAACGTTGTTTCACAATTGATCATCAAATATCTATTAATGGTATACTCCGTTAATGCTAGGGGTAGGTGATGAATGGGCTGGGGACTTATGTGTCAAATTGACCCACCCGCTAATTAACGATTTGGTACAATTATGACACGTAATCCATTCACATAGTATTCGGGTTGAGTTGGTTAGGTGGTCGGCAGTTGGGTTATGACTAACAATTAGGAAAAAGTGACTAACATTTATTTATAATAAATTCACTAGACAATTCACTTTGCCTCTTGTAGTCTGTAGTTCCGTCTAGCATAGTAAGTCAAATATGGTGCGAGTAAGTTACATATAAAATTCGTACGGGTATTTTACGTAATCTCCAATTTAAGTTTAATAGTACGTCAATAGTAATAAAAATAAATAAATAAATATTTAAAAATAAATTAATGTATAAATAATAGTTAAGTTAACCATTCAATTAATTAAATACGAATATTAAATGTATTATACAGGCAGTTGGGTATGACTAACATTTTAATTGAACTCATGAATAAACAAGCCAAGCTCAAACCAGAATAAAGTTCAACTCGACTCAACTCATTTGCAGCCCTAGTTAAAACTTAAAAAACAACCGAATCATATCGCCGCCGATATTCCACCCTTTTAATTAGGGGTGGCTATACGGTCCGGTCGAGTTAAATTGGCCAGAATTGTTCGGTTCCGGTCCCAGTCCGGTCTTTCTGGGAATATAAGGACCAAAGATTGGATTGGATTGGATACAGTCCGATTTTGATCCGGTTCGGTCCCAATTCGATCTTAATTTTAGATTGGTTAAGTTTTGAGTGTTGGGCTCTCTTATCCTGTCTTTGTCCGGTTTTCGATCCGATCTCATACAACTTTTTATCTCAAATCTAAACCTGAAGATAAGATTAGATTGTTTGTTATCCGGTCCTGGTTCGGGTCCGGTTTCGGATAAAATCAAATAACCCGTCCTACTTTTAATGGATATATAAAATATAATAATAATAATAAAAGGAAAACGTCTCAAAGCGAATTCCCGTCTTTGCCCTCACCAGCCGAAAACCCCACGCCTTCCTTTCTCTCCGTCTCCGCTCTCTCTATCTGTAGTTCTGCACATCATATATTACGTTCTGTCTTTCGTGCTTGTTGTCTCTCTGTCAATAGTTCTTCTTCTTTCATCCGCATGCGGCTTCAGTTACGGAGAGAAAAAAAGGCACAATCCTAATCCTCCCTCCCTCTGGTCAATCAGCTCCGCCGCTCCACTTCTCCGGCCGCCGAGATCGCCGATCCCGACACCCAGCCGGCTTCGCGACTTCGTTTTAGATTTCGGTCAAGCTCTAGTTCGATTATCGGGGAACCGGAACGCCGAGCTCCTCTTCTTATGGAGCGGCTCGTCGGCGGAAAGTACAAGCTAGGTCGGAAGATCGGCAGCGGATCTTTTGGTGAAATATTTCTCGGTCAGTCTTTCCGCTCTGCTGTCTTCCATTCCAATTGAGCGGAATCCGTCCTGCGTCCGTTTCTGTTTCTGTTGCGGTTCGATTCGTTCTAGACCTAATTGCTGTTGCTCCTCTGCTTGTTGCCTTTTGCAGCTACTCATGTCGATACGTTCGAGATCGTAGCAGTGAAGATTGTAAGTGCCCTCCCTCTCTCGGCAATCGTGTTTGGTTCGCCATTTGTAGTGCATGAGAGCTGTGTTTGTTGGTTAAACGAATGTGGATGACGAAAGGGGGGATTTGAACTTGGTTGGAATGGAATGGCGGGGATGTTGTGTACTAATTGGTGACTGTACAGCTAAATTGTGCATTTTGTGCTGTTGTTCGCAGGAGAAGAGTAAGACGAAGCATCCACAGTTGCTTTACGAGGCCAAGCTTTATAATATCCTGCAAGGAGGAAGTATGGGAAGCTCTTTCTGCACGATGATTTGACCAAGCGGCTCTCCTTTTTTTTTTACATGCTTCGTGTGGTTGGAACTTGAATGTGATTGTTCAAATTGGTTACTGTTGCAGGCGGCATTCCCAGCATAAAGTGGTCCGGTTTGGACGGGGAGGACAATGCGCTAGTGCTTGATTTGCTCGGGCCGAGCCTTGAGGACCTGTTTGTCTACTGTGGGAGGAAGTTCTCGCTGAAGACTGTGTTGATGTTGGCTGAGCAAATGGTAAGCTTGGTTCTTGCTTAGCCATGTTTGTTTCTCTTGTTCCCTTACTCCTCCTTTCTCTTCACTCGTACATGTGGTGGTGAATGATGTGTATGCATCATCAACCGCCTTTGAAATGGTGCTAGCTCTTGTCTTCACTAGTTCGTAGTAGTCATCGTTGCTATGCGTATCCTGTCTTTCTTTGTTTGTTGTTGATTTTTCCCTGTTTGCGGTCAGTTTCGTGTTCTATCTATATGATACAGTTTGATTTGCAGTTGTACCTAGTAATTTATATCTGTGCTGGTAATTGCAGATTACGAGGATTGAATATGTACATTCGAAAGGTTTTCTGCACAGAGACATTAAACCTGATAACTTCCTCATGGGTCTTGGTCGTAAAGCAAACCAGGTGATGAACGTCGAAAGTTATATGCTTTTTTGTTTTTTGAAAAATGATTCGCTAGGGTCGAGTCATAACTGTTTGTGCGGATTTACTGACTTGTTGCCATGCAATGTCTACCAGGTTTATATAATAGATTTTGGGCTTGCGAAAAGATATAGAGATTCAACATCAAATCGCCATATTCCTTACAGGTGATTCTGATACCATTCGTTTCATGTTCTTCTTGCCAAGTTAATTTGTTATACTCTTAGTTGTGCCCCTGGCATTGATGTTCCGTTTTCAATTGACTTAAAACTTTTGAATGATAATACTAAATTGATTTTTGGTGTCGCTATTAGCTCATATTTTGCTATGAACCATGCCACTGTACAGAGAGAACAAGAACTTGACAGGAACTGCTCGCTATGCAAGCTGCAACACTCATCTTGGCATTGGTACGAATGATGCATTGGAAGTACTTTTACCTTGTAATATGGACAGGTCATAGGAGTAATGTTAAATATAATGTTATGTACTTGCATAGTCTTCTACTGCCATTAGCTCGAGCTTACAAGTCTCCTGCATTTGCTGTTCTACAGAGCAAAGCCGGCGTGATGATTTGGAGTCACTTGGCTATGTGTTGCTATATTTTTTGAGAGGAAGGTATGGTTTCTGGATGACTTGGTGTTTTTTGATTTTCAAATATGGCAAGTTGTCTTGACTTATGGAACAGTTTTGTGTTCAATATTGTTGAATTTTTTTGTATGGAGCGTGCATGTGTAACTTTACTTGTTTGTTGTCAGCCTTCCATGGCAGGGTTTGAAAGCGGCTACGAAGAAGCAGAAATATGATAAAATATGTGAAAAGAAAGTATCTACTCCTATTGAGGTGCCCGGTTACATTCTGGTACTTGTTGAAAGTTATGTTGTTGGAATATAACCTAAAACTCAATATATTCTTCTTCCCAGGTTCTATGCAAATCTCATCCGGTGGAGTTTGTTTCTTACATGGTTTACTGCCATTCAGTGACATTTGATCAACGGCCTGATTATGGATTCTTGAAGCGCCTATTTCGCGATCTATTTGTACGTGAAGGTATGCGTTGATAAACTCTAGTTATTGATTCTACTGTAGATGTTTAGTTAACGTAGTATGGTCTGTTCTACAACTACCTCTCTGGTGAGTTTATGTGCCATGCAATTTCCTTTGCTTAACGCTGTGTAATCTATGTTCTGTTGATGCAGAATACGAGTTTGATTATGTATTCGATTGGACCATTATAAAGTACCAGCAGGCACAAAAGAATCAAACTCAACCTCGATTGCCGGTTAGTAGCTGTGTGACCTTCATATCCCGCACCTCCCTCCCCTCTCTTCATGCTAACTTATTAGCCTTTACCATGTCAGTTTTCGAATTTGCAAATGGGTTTTCTTTAATTAGCTCTCAGAGAAGTAGCTGCTATCATCTGTTGTTCCTGCTATCATCTGTTATCATCTGTTGTTCCTCTCTTTTTTCTTTTACCTCATTAATGATTGTCATTGATATTGAAACATGCACTTGATGCTGCAGCAAGTAACTGGAAGAAGTGACAGCCATGCAGTTCAAAGAGAGAACGCAAATCAACAAGGTTAGAGCTACAGATCTGTGTAATATGTAGATCGACATGCACTCCATGTTAGCCATTACGAATGTGTGAAGTCCAAACATCGTTTGTACATCGTGACTCTGTTTGTTGCTAGCCATGAGTTCTACCGATTATTGGATAAGAACATTTTCAAAGCCCAAGAAGACAGATGACATTTTCAGGATAGTGATTATGGTCATCACTTTTTCTGCATTTGAGATATATTTGTGGCTTCATTCTCATTAGTAGTAACATTCGAGTGCAGGAAGTAGTAATGCTGCTTATGCTTCTGAGGTTGTACAATCTACGGGTCATGGCATTCATATGCAATTGAAATCATCAACTGGCAAGCATGTGGTTTCTGATAATCATGCTGACAGGAACGTAAGTTCTCACATTATTCTTTAGTAATCAGTACAGTTGTTTCACCATATGGACAGTGGACTGCATTTGCTGTGCTATTCTCTGAATCTTTTTCGAAAGTTTATGTTGTCTTCTTTTATTTACTCATTTGCAATAGCAGTGAAGTTACTGATTCACCATCTATATTGCTAACTAAGTGTGATGTAAGCTCATTGAAGTGGAGACTACAAGATGCATATTGAGCTTTTTTACAATATTTAGTAAGAAACATGTTTAGGGAACTGACATTGTGTGAGCTATTATGAAGACCTTTTCATTGGTCTTTAGTCGCATAATTAGGTTCTGCCTTACGGTAGTGCCTCTCACTTAACATAGGCCTTTTAAGGCACAGCTTAAGTGTGACTTTGGTGCATGGGAGGTTCAGTGTCTGTGTAATTTGTCATCCAGTAGCTTCCCTTGTCAGTTGATCACCCTACAAATTGCTTCTTGTAGGTTGTGAGTGATGCACATATGCCTTCTAGTTCATTTTCATTTGCTGGGTCAAGAAGGAATGCTGCAAAACCTGGCGGCTTGCCAACTGAAGCAACAAGTGGCCATGGACATTCTAGCAAGGTTGCTCCATCTGGCAGCTGGATCTCAGCATTGCAGCGCATTCATTCTGCCAAATGATCTGGATGGTAGTTTCTGCATCCCTGTTTGCATACTCTCTACTAGTTGGATAATTGTTTATTCAGCAACTAAGTTTTATATTTGTTCTGTGGTTAGCTGTGATGTTGTCAAAGGAGGTTATAATGATACATCAGTTGGAGGCTGAAAAAAAGTTGGCGATCTGGTATCATGCTTTCAGCTATTATTGTAATCGAGATGCGGATGCTTGCAATCCAATGTGCTTTGTTCTTGTTGAAAGTGGATCGCAGTATATGTTCTTTGAGGTTTGTTATAAATTACCAACTACCCAGGCTTGGTTGTGCTGTACATAGTTGCTTAAATTACTCATGCAATCACTGTATTTCTGATTTCATGTAAGCGGAATCAAATGTGAAGCTTTTAGCTAAATACACTTGTCTTTTAAATAGTTGGTCTTGACAGTATTGGTTATCTCTCAGTTCAACAGTTCCGAGTTCATGAATTCTGCATGTATGCTCATCCTTGATACACAAAAATGTGTATATCTGAGCTTATGTGTGTAATAGTTGGCTAAAACAAGCTGCACCATGGTTACCATTGACACGATGGGAGACGAATGGACCTTTTTGTACCATATTCCCTTCAGTTGTAGGCTATGTTTCTCATGCTAGCCAGTTTGACATTTGATCAGGTAGTATACCGCCTTTGTCCGTTGAATGCTCATTTGCAAGAGTCGTGTTTGTCTTGCAAATTGGATTTGTAAGTGATGGGTAACTTATGTTCATTGTTTATCTTGTCTGGTCATTAGTGTATGAAGTTGTCTTGACCACAAAGAATTTTGAATGCATTTCTACTTTCTGGGTAATTCTTTAGCTTATTTTGCAGCATTATTCGTGATAACCATTCATCCAGTGGCATATCTGTATCATTTGCCATTGTTTTTCCGAGTAACTCAAGTGGGATTTATCTGGCATCTGGCAACTCTTCTATCCATTGTGTCTTTCTGCTTTCATTTATGTGGAATTATTTGTTCTCACATGCTATCACACATTGATTTATGTTTGAATAATTATGAGATACTTGATATAGATTTTTTTTGAGTTATAGGATAAGTACTGTTTTCAAGAAATATGAAGCTCTTGTTTTGAGTAATTTGTTTTGTAAAGTAGATGCTGGGTTTGAAGAGTCAATGGAATGTAGACGCTTCGAAGAAGATCATATTGATCTGTTCAATTATCGATTAATATTCTCTAATTTGCAGGTTCTTTTGTAGCACGACATTGTCCACTGAAGTTAATCACAACTGGGAACCATGGACATGATGTAGTTTCAGAACTACGGAAGATCTGACAGTTGCGAGCTGATTGAGTAAGTGGCTGCAAGCTGCCAAGCCATGACTCGCGGTTGTAATTGATATTCACGGATGTCGGTGTCACTGCGGCTCCAGATCTCAGTTGCAGCACTGCATGCTTCCCCATTTGCATGTTCTATCCATGTAAGAAAACTGAAACTGGCGCACTCCTTTTTGTTGCTGGTACTAAGAAAGGTGCCAGCAAGATGGTATCCCCACTTCTACAGTTAAAAGTTGGTTTCGGGGGAGAAGGCTGATTTTGATGCAGTTTTAGCTTTACTTGTACCGAGCTGTTGGCAATGGACAAGGGACGATAACTGAGGTTCGGTTGTGGTTGTTACCGTGCATATCATATCTAGGTATTATTGGGTAACAGCTGGGAGATAGTTTGGTGCAAGGGCAACCTACAGCTTCATGCTTTTGCCAAAATTTGTTGGTAAGGAATCTGGAGATGGACGAAGCATAAGGGTTAGACGAACCACTGGGTGCAAGTTTCCGATTTATTTCTTGTATTTGATGCGGTTGCTGCTACTGGGGAGGGGCTGTTCGTAAGCAAATTCCAAGGCGGCAGGTGAACTTTCTTCTCCAGTCGCCTTGAGATCCAGTTTCAGGTTGTGTTTGTAGCTGAAGAGAAAGTTACTTGAACAAGTGTAAAAGGGAGAGAGCTATAGTGGATGTATACAACTGGTTGTGGGTGTCTGGAAATTGTGTTGGAAATGGTGCCGTGGAAAGCAAGAATCCGAGGAAGAAGCTGGTGGTGTGGTAGTTACTTATAATGCTTAGTTTTAAGTAAAGGAAAGATCATATGAAAGATGCAGGATGCCGATGGTAAGATAGCCTATAAGATAGCCTAGTTTGTAAAGGGCTGGGTTTTGGGCTTGGGATGTGACAAGGTCTCAGGTTGGAATTCCAGTACCGCTTTCCGCTTTCTTGGTGTTCCCGGAGGCACCCTTGGTATAAGAGACGAAGTCTCCCTGATGATGGTAGCACTGCGTCGGGATAAAGTCATTGATGGTTAGTATGCATGTATCCCAGTTTAGTAGGCTCCGTTGTCACTCATGTGGCATGTGGGTTGCTGATGTTCCTGGGTTATCAAATAAAAAAAATATGAAAGATGTAGGACCAATTTCAGTGAAGGTTCAAAAGGGTGGTAGGGTAATGTGGGGTCTTGGCGTCTTGCCTGCCATCTGAACGGTTCTTGTTGGAAGGAAAAATAACGCTTTATACTACATAATGAATAAAATAATTGTTTACAAATTAACAACACTATTATACTTCAGTATAAATGATTAGTATTAGTCTACCACTTGATAACAAAATATATTCTACAAGTTGATGAATTAGAGTTCACAAAGTTCTTGAAATATGGAATAAATTTGAGAGAGAAGATTGAGTTTGTAAATGATATTAATTTTCTATTTTAATATTCACTGTTTAGCTCCATCTAATTATGTTTTGGTGGCACCTAGATGTTATTTTATTTTGTTATGTTTTTTATACCTAACTTATCGTGGAACTTCTAGACGAGATGTTTCGGTGCTTGTGTTTCTACGAGCAAACGTAAGCATATGTTTTCAACCCATGAACAGTTGTAGCTTCAAATAGCAAATAAATAATTTAAGAGAAGCTAATTGATTTATATAGTATTATATAGAAAATGAGAACTAATGGGGTTGAGGTAAGGCGTAAGAAAGACCTTCATGATGTTTGTGAATTGTAAGATTAATGATAGATATTTATATTTTTATCATCATTTTATCGTATGATATTCGTCATTATTATGATATGAGTTTTTGTATCAACAAACTCTTGATTATGATACATATTGTGTGGTAAAGCGATTGAAATATAATTTTCATTGAATGGATAAATAAGTAGTTATATATGATGGGTAACTAATAGTTTATTTACCCTCCCCCAGGTTTTTTTTTCTTTTCATTTTGGATAAATCAATTCTAACCGGTTAACAAAGCGTGGAATGGCCCGGTTCCTAAAATCTGTTACTATCAGGCCCGACTCTCTGGAACTATAAACCGAACTGCTAGAAGGCATGTGTCGGTTGGACCGGTTCAAACAGTTCCCGTCTGGTTACCAGAACCATGGTTTGCTTCCCATACCCGGCAACAAACAATTCGTTAGTCTTCTTGCCCTTTGCTCAACCGCCGGTTTAAGCTTACTACCATCGCCGCCAAGAGCCACCGTGAACTGCCATCTATGCCCGGTGACGTCGAGAAAATGGTGGCCGTAGGCCTCATCTGGGGCGCAACCAACGCCTTAATCCGCCGCGGGGCTCTGCTGTACGACAAAAGATCTCCCGGATCTCCCGCCGCCGCGCCAAAATCGACGGCGCTCCACCGGAAGCTCATCTCTTCGTTCAGAAGCGCGATCAGCCTTCTGCTGTTCTGGCAGTATTCCATCCCTTTCTTGATCAACCTCTCTGCTTCCGCCACTTTCTTCGCTCTCCTCAGCGACGCCCCAATTTCGCTCGCCGTCCCTGTCACCAACGCCACGACGTTCGCCGCCACCGCCGTGTTCGCCATGCTCCTGGGCGAAGAAACTCGGATTGGGTTTGCATTGATCGGTACGGGGTTCATTGTGATTGGAATTTGGCTTTGTATCACCTAATTTGTTGTAGTGGAAAGGTTCAGATTTTTATGCTGCGAATTTGTGGACATACTCCACTTTTGTTAGAATGTCAGCTGTCTGAGTCTATGGAAGATCGAGATCCTTTCTTTACTTTCAGAAATTTGAGGGTTCTATTTCTTCTTGGGATTGAATGAGCTCGTCACTGTGGTTCATTTGATTAAGATCCGGCATACTACTGTCTCTGTTCAATTATGAGAACTTACTGTAGATTACTGCATTCCGCATTCGAATGAGGTATTGAAACGAACTGTTGGATTGCAAATTGTAGAAGCTCTGATATCTCAATCTCCAACTTTCTTTCAGTTGTAGAAGTATAAAATGTTTACATCAGATTGATCTCGGTATTTGCATTTGGTTTGACTTAATGGAGGGAGAATGCAACAAAACTCAGATTGACATGAGGGAAAATAATGAAAAGTAATTCGATATGGAACCCGAAGCAGTGAAACAAAAATAGTTGGAACATGGTTGATAGTGTAGATATTGGAAGGTTATAATTGTGGCTTGAAGCATTCTGAGGGCATGTTGCCGTTGAATCGCTTGGAATCTTTGCAGTAGTCGTAGATCATGTGGTTATCTCTCACCCATTTCATCTGCCCTTGTTTGGCGAAGCTCAGCTGTTTGTATGCAGGAGATGTCCACCAGTTACCAGGGGTACTGACAGCACATTCAGTGATGCTGGGAGGTCCATTCCACTTGCAAGCCCTGGCCCTGAAATTGCGGTACCTGGCTATGAAGGGAGCAGAATTCCAGTCAATCTTCTCCAAGCCGCCTCTGGTTGCCCAGTTATCAGCATTCCAAAGGCTGGAGTAAACTTTCATTCCTTGTTTGTTTGGGTAAGGAACCCCCTGGCTCTCGTAGTTGCGGTAAACTCTGATTGGTATGCTGTCCACATACCACCTGCATTATCGAGCATATAGTATAGTAGTAAGGTCAGGACTCAGGACACCATCATATTATATACACCAAATGCAGTTGCACGATCATATAATAGTATGGTTCGTACTATTATCCCAATAACTTACACAATGGCGGTAGGGTTCCAGTGGATGGTGTAGTTGTGATAGTCAGCAGTTGGGTCAAACCACGGGTAGAACTGCTGTTCCCTGCTTCCATTTCCTTGTACGTAGACGTTAGTGTGGATGATGTAGGGTTGCCCAGACACATTTCCAAGAAACTCAAAGTCAATCTCATCGTGTCTATCTCCCGTGGAGGATACCTGTGGTTCGTAGTTCGATCAAATAAGAATGTGTATGACATACAACTAACTTTATTAGCATTTTCACTCGCGCTGCATTTTACTTACGTAATATGCAGTAACTGTTCCTGCAGAGTTCCCAGGCACCAGCTTGATCAACATTTCAATGCTGCCAAACAAGAACGCCCTCTTCGACTGGATCGCAGAGCCTGAGGAGTCAAAGATGATAGGTAAATCTAGTGAACTTCTATATATCTAAGAAGGCGATCAAAGTGTACGAGCAGCCTGAAGATTTAAATGCAAGCAAACAAGTTACATTACCTGATGTTTTGTCCAACACCAGCTGGAGGTCTTCCCCATTGCTCGACATTGAGGCATGGTGCGCGCCCCAGGTGAAGTAAGTACTCTTTGCGAACTTAGCATCAACTGAGCTTGGATTGAATGCTACTAATGCAAATACAGACAGAGCTACCAGTAGAGGGTGGCTAAAACCTGCCATTTTCATTTCCAACAGCCAGAAGAAGTTTACTGCTCGCTTTTCTCCGTTGAAATGAGGGTTGTTGGGGATCGATGCTTTCCGTCGACTACTATGAATGGCTTTTATAGGATCTAATCAACAGACGGGCCTTGCTGAGATGGAGTCATCTACTTTTAATATTCTAGTTCCTGAGAACACATTGACCATGTCTGTCCTGTTAATTTGACATTCCTGGATTTGTTTAAAGTTATGCTCCAGAGTTTGGTGAATGAGAGAAGCTGTCTTGTTTCAATGTCACACAAACTGTGGACATGGGGACTTGCTGCTGGACATGTATAGAATGATGCCATTTTCCATCCTGTGCTTTGCTGCTGATTTCTTCCTTCAAAAGTGGTAGTGGCGGGAGGGAATGAGATGAGGAGAAGGTAGGTAGATGGAGTTTGAGCCAGCCAAGCTGGGACGCGGTTGCATTTTGCTGGAGGAACCCTAATGGCATCGTGCACCAGACTAAAAACAATTGTCAAGGTGCCGGCCGGGATGCTTTGTTTAGCTTCAATGACGTGCACAACTTGCTGAGTTTCGGAAAATTTGCAAGAAGCAACCTCTTCTTTTTTTGGGCTATAAATCACGCCCCTTCTTTCCAAGTTACATTAGATCATTCACATTGTTGTAAACTTGTAATGTTGTCATCGCTGTTGTTGGGAGGTCGGATTAACCAAGTCGTTAATGCACTATTTTACGGAGTTAAAAGAGCATAAATAAGTGAAAATCGAAGAGAATTGAGATTCAACGAACAAGAATGGTGGCCATCACAAGACGATGTGAGATTTGTGTTCTCACGCTCTATTCACAGAGTGGATAATCCTCATACATAATAATCATCCTTGTGTCGAAAGGATTATATCAAGCCAAAATGACGTCGAGTTTCATCTGTGAATAGGGGTCGGAACTCGGAAGGATGGTTCTAACATGAATTATGAATAATTTTGAATTAATGGGTTAGCGTTGGAGAAAATAATCCGAAGTAGTGACCGATTTAATTACCAAAACCGTCTAAGAAACCACGGTGATGATCCACATTGACATTTGAATTCAATTTACATATTGGCAGTGACCAACTTCCACTTGTAACTAAGTGCAACAGATGGGGTTATGAAGAGAGATAGTGTGAGCAGGAGCTCCTGTGATGCTCACATAATAAGAACACCACCTTCATAGGCTTCTGTCAACTATAACGATATGGGCTGAACAAAATGTAGCTTCCGGAGAAGACTCCCCAAACCCCATATCATCAAACTCCAGATGGCACTTAGATTGTCACTTGTGGAATGCGAAAATCGGCCGATTGAATCCCGTTTTACTGCCTGTCAACCCTGCAGTGAGGTCCTCGACGGATCTGAAACCGATCTGCAAAAAGGTCAAACAGGAAGCAACAAGTGAGGCAGACCCCCCTATACTCTGTCATGATGCCGAGGTTAACAGGTATTTACCTTATCTAGCAAAATTTCCCGAAAACTCTCTGGGGGAAACATTATGTTTCTGTAATTTTCAGCTGCTGTCTGCAGATGTGCAAACCAAGCTATCAGCAAATTTATGCAACCAATACTCTTAAGAGACAATTTGTTCACATCCCAGGCAGAGTAAAATATGGAGCTAACCACGATATAAGAAACGATCGTAGAACTGCTTCGTTCACGAGAAACAAATGAGAAACAGTTCACATTTGACATGAAACACTCTGTATACTAAGATCTTGCTTACTCGAAGAGGAAAAACAAATACCTTGGAGACTTGATAGTTCTTCTTATACGAATCCCAAGGCTGCGGCTCCAAGATAAAAGTGCCACCCTGCTCAAGACAAAAAGGATTTGTAGTGTTACTGCCTACTGGTACAATGTGTATAAAATGATCACTGAATATTAGTAAAGATCAGCTTAAGACAAGAAGTACCCAAGAGAAGATAAAGGATTAATATAGGAATACCGGGACAAGAAGTTTCCACACTTTAGAAAATAGGGTAATCAACCCATCATCTCCCCAGTTCAGGTGAATCCACTTTGCAACACTCAAACTGCAAAAATGAACAACCATCTTACGATAGAAGATCACGCTAGTTGATAGCTAATTTAACAATTTTGTTACTATAGTATAACTCCTGACAAAGTAAATGTGGTTCACAGCAGTTGTCTCCCCGTTTCAGCTGTTTACGTCATATTGGCTCAACAAGGGAAGGATAACCAGATAAATTGACTACAAGATGCAGTTATAGGAATAAAACCCAGAACTCCATGTTTTACACTTCAGTAATAGTTTCAGATATTCACAAACTCCAAAAATAGAAGATACTCACCATAGAATAGTATCATACTGCTTCTCATGGGAGTGCCGACTGTCAACAAAATTTTCTTGTCGAAAGGAAACAACATCAAACAGATTTCTTTTCTCAGAAAATGATGCTTCTTTCTTGATCTCCTCGCCATCTCCTGGTACTACATGTGCAATTTGCTTGGAAGCTTTCAATTTCTCTTTGACTTCCTCCTTGGATACATTTGTACTACTGCTCCCAGAGTGCTCTCTCGAAAATTTTCTCAAGTGCCAATATGCATCAGAAATACGGGCTGGAACATAGCAAATCTAACTGCGTCAAGAGAACTTGTCCATCTGAAGGGTCTAGCAAGGGTAATCTCAAAACAATATAACTCTAATTCGAGACTTCCAGACTCAAATTTATCTAGGAAAAACTAGGGAATAAAAGAAATTTGACGCCAAACTCAAGAAGCAAGGAATAGCCAATGGTTATGAGCAGATCCTAAGTACCAACTGCAATAGACTCTCAAATTAATCCTTAAATACAAATAGAAAAGCGTGGACAACTAATGATATGTGCGTAAGATAAAAAGAAACTACATGTGCATCTTGATGGAACGCAAGTAGTGTCAGCATATCTACACAACACAAACATGAGGGAACTACTTGATATGCTTCACACACTACAGACTTACCACTGCAACTATAGAATACGACTTTATTTTTTCAAAACGTCAATTTGCCTCATTGTTTTGGGTCTGGTCATTTTTTACTTTGCTTTAATCTTCGTCAATAAAGTAAACCTAATCAACCCATCATTTTGCACAACGAAACTTAACATCAAGGATGGTTTACAAACAGGCATCTAGACAGACATTTTAGGATCTTACCAGTGTCTATATCTACTCCAAGGATGCTCCGGCAGTTATACTTTTTGGCTGCAGAAGATGAACAAAACCTTGCTATCAATATGATGCAGAAAGGGTATGGTATTGGTATAAAGCAACTGCAAACTAGTAACAGAGACACAAGTCGTGCCCAAAAGCAATGCCGAAAAAACAAAGCTATCAAATCCCTTAACATAAAAATCCTGATTCACTAGCCAATACTTCAACATAGACTTAAATTTATGTGTTACCCTCCCAAGTTTCTACTGATATCATAGGGGTATCTTTCCTATAAAAATACCTACATTACATCACAATTCACACAGATTCAAGTTTCACTTGTTATCACTGATATGAACATAGCAACACTCCAGCAAGAACTAAAAGGTCAAAAAGGGTCCGGAAGGCAGTCCTAAGGAACATACACTAGTTTACGCCCTTCAACTCCAGGATTGCATCACCAGATAACATGATTTCCCATATTCTTCTCATAAAAAATTTAACAGTCTAGCAACAATCTTTCTTTCACATGATCAAGAGCCACCACAAAAAATAAGCCACAAAACTAAAACACGATTCTGTTCAACTCTTTTCTGGAACCATAAACTGAAAAACAAATAAGAAGCTTACCAATATGGATGGTGATTATGCCACTATTGCAGCCAATGTCGAGACAATCTTTCCCTTCAAACCACTCCCTCTTTAAGACCTTAAGCCTCGGATCTTCATCCACCTCCTGACCAATCTGTTAATCAGCAGCAAATAAGAAACCACCTTTGTAAGGATTCCATGGAAATATTCGTAGTAAAGAACAAATTCGTCACATTAGAAGAATTCTGTGACTCGTTCTATTCTGCTCGAAACCCTACTGCAGTTGCAACTCAAGATTTCCAGCAAGAGAAAGAACAGAAATGGTGGCTATCTAGCACTCTTAGAGCTACTTTACAACACCCAATAGACATTTTCTGGTTAATCATCAAGTAAACTACGGCAAGAGCAGAACATGCATTTGCATTTTCAAGCTGAGAACAGCAAATGAACATCGCCAGAAGAAAGAAACGAAGAGAGAAAGCAATACACGGTATCCGTAGTAGTTTCTGTAGTTTCCGAATGGAAATGCTTCTCTCTGTTTCCTCTTCTTGCTGCTGCCGCCGCCGTTGTTGTTTTGAGCAGGGTGGTCGCCGCCGGCGACTTGATCTTGCTGCTGTGGTTTCCCTTCGCCGTTCTGCTTCCGCTCCTGGGTTTCTTCCTTCTGGGATGGATTCTCCGTCTTCTGTTTCTTCCTATTCCTTTTGCTCTTCTTCTCGACGACGATTTCCTCTCTGTTTTCCTCCTCTGCTTCTGCCATTTTTTGCTGTTGAGAAGCTAAAGAAGGATATGAGCAGGCGCTTCCTGTTCAGTGGAGGGCAACAGAAAGGCGAGGAAGTCGGACGTCTATTCGAAGTAGCGACAATCTGGTGAGCTATGGAGATGCAGAAGAAGCGGCGGCGAGGAGATGGAGCTCCAGCGCGGCGGCGGCGGCGGCGGAGGTGGCCGCGGGCAAGGGAGCTTAATTATGAGTATCCTCGAGGAGAGGCGAGGAATTTTAGGGGTTACACAGACTGATTTATTTGATGTGATTTCGTGTTTAAAAAAAAATATTTTGCCACAAATACTCAGAGGTCAAACCAGCGGTCCGTCGGTCGGACCGAATTATCTCTATGGTTGGTATCATGGTATGTGAGTGGACCAATCCAATCGCTCCTTTATTAGGGTTTATCAAAACCATAAATTTCATTTTAGATTAGAAGAAGAGAAAGCGGGTTCAAAAGCATCATTATCTCATATCATACTTCAAAAATAGTAATGATAGATGAATATAGTCTAGAAAAAGCAAATAGTCATGATCACAACTTCAACGTAATAAATGATAAAGAGTTTTTATCGACACAATCTCTTGACATCCTTGTATTTTAGTAGGTGTCGACTTTACGTTGGTCCGTATGACACCTCTTCTTCCGTCACTTGCATCCAGATCCCTAATTTATTTTCTCTTAAACTTATTATGTTCTTTCTGAGACTCGATCCTATCTATTTCTCTATCAATCACTAATATTTTACACAATCCACCTTTGTTTTAAGCATACATTTAACCACTCAAGCAAAAGGAATCCCATAATGATTAAGAGGATAATTACTTATAACTTACTAATCAATTACATTTTATTTTATAAACTCTCAAGTCTTAATACATAAATTTTGTCCAAAAAAAACCATGTCATTACACAGCCAATCAAATGATGAAGAATACAAAAATCAGCTATAAAAAAAAGAATTCGTTTCTGGACCTTTCTCTTCTGCAAAACTATACCCAAAAAAACCTTCCCGCAGTTACCAAATTACCCTGCGTTTTATATACAATAACTACACAAAACGGCACCCCAGTAATTAATAATACTATAAATAATTATCTCCTCTCACTTAATCTGCACCCACACGGCCTGGCTGGGAACCCCTTGGTAGACAACGCTGAGCATGTAATATCCGGTCGGCGCCACCGCCGAGTTCGGCGGCGTAACCACCGCCAGGTCAAACACGCCCGGCTGCCCCGCCGTCGGGTTGACCGACTCGAGACCCAGCATGATGAGCCGCTGGTTCATCGTCACCCCGTGGGTGCTGAACCCGGGGACGCTGATCGTCACCTTCAGGTTGAACAGTATCATCGCCGCCGGCTTCGCCTTCACCTGCACCGTGATCTTCCCGTTGTACCCGAGCTGCGCGATCGCGGCGGCGTTCACGATCTCCGGCCTGCTGTCGGCCAGCGCCGGGTCCAGGTACGGCGGCGAGAATTTCTCCACCCGCAGCTCCGTCGGGAACATGGAGTCGTAGATGTACCTGTTAAGAGTAATGGTGTCATTAATTTAATTGTTAGTGAGAAGAGGTAGAGTAGGCCCCGTCTCGTCGAGGAGATTGGAACACACGACCACTTGGCCAAACCAGCTCTGATACCATGTCATAAACCAATTGGTCCCAATAACTCGAGTTGTTGGGAGAAGGTTATGCGGAATCTTATACCACTCTCTAACAATTGATACGATCTGATTTGGACTGGTGTGAAGCAGATTGTTGCCCACCCCCTCAGTAAGTGATATATAATGCATAATTATTGAATATCTTTCAACAATTCAAATTATTGGAATCAATTCATTAGTGACATGGTATCAAAAGAGCATTATGTAACCAAGAGATCTTTGTTCGAAATCAACTCATTTGGTAAGCACATGGTATTCAAACAAGTGCAGACTTCAACTCCAAATGAGTAGCATTTCGTTCGAGGAGGCGTGTTGGTGAGTAGTTTGTGATTTATAATTGAACCTTTTCAACCAACTCAAATTATTTGGATTAACTGGTTATTGACAATTATGCAATTCATCATGTTAGGCAATATAGTAAAACATGTGATTCTACTTAGAAACATTTTAATTACGTACCTAGAAGCGTTCGTAAGATTTTAAATTTTAAAGCGTAGATTTTTTATTTTTGACTACGCTTATATGGAAAATGCGAAATTCTACGTGAAAACGTTTTGATAATCTAAAATAGTAAAATTACAAGCTTTTAAATGCATTCATGCTAGGTATATATTGCCATGAGAGTTGAGTTACGTACCCGTTGTTCGTGTTACTCCCGGCGACCATGACCCTGCCGTCGGGAAGCACGACCGTCGACGAATGGTACATCCTCGGAATCGTGGTCGGAGCCAGCTGCCGGAACCTGAACCCGAGCTTCGCCCGAGGAGTATACAACACCGGAGTAAAATTGGGCTCCCTCGCAAAACCCCAACCGGAGGCTCCCCTCATCGCTCCGTTCAAAATGAGCACCTCCCCGGTCGGAAGCAGCATCATATCCCCCATAATCCGCGGCGACGGCATCAGCTCACGTTTCCAAACCGGATTCGGGTCCGTGATCCGGATCCGACCGCAATCCTCCAGCGCCTCGTAGAACACATTCTTCTCCGCCTTGCTGTACGAGTCAATATGCGCCGACCCGCCGCACACTAGGACCTCGGCGGGTACGGGCTTTGCCGGGTCCTGCTATCAAGAAATATTTCAAGTTATCGTCAAAACTCAACGATTCTAGGATTTAAAATAAAAATAATAATAATAAAGAAACCTAAAAGAGTTCTAGTGTTCCATTTCATAACTCAATTTTGTTGTTATTACCTCCCTGGATATCACGAAATATTTCAAGTCATCGTCAACACTCAAGAATTCTAGAATTTTAGAAAAAAAAACTAAGGGTTGTAGAGTTTCATTTCACAACTCATCTTTGTTATTACCTGTTGTACTATCAGAAAATATTTCAAGTTATCCTCGAGACTCAAAGGGTTCTAGAATTTCATTTCACAACTCATCTTTGTCGTTACCTGCCCAGCGGCAAAGAGGCGGATTGGGAGGATGACGGACATCCCGCTGGCGGGGTAGTTTCGGTGGCCGCCGGGGAGGACGGGGAACTCCTTCACGACCTGGTTGGTGGCGGGGTTGAGGAGGACGGAGCGGTTGTTGGCGAAGATGAAGACGTTGCTGTCGGTGGAGAGGAAGACGAAAGGGTAGAGGTTGTTCTCCTCGGGGTCGAGGGTTTGCTTGAGGAAGTCGAAGAAGAAAGGCTGGGCGTTGTGCTGGCCTTCCGGCGGGATGTACTCGAAGGACTGCGCGTCCCGGCCGCCGACGACGATGAACCTGCCGTCGGCGAGCTGGGCCTGGGTGGAGTACCACCGCGGGGCGGCGAGCGCGGTCGGGTATTCCCTCCATTTGCACCCGACGCAGGAGTCGAGGTAACGGACCGTGTTGGCCCCGCCTTGGAACCCGCCTGTGCTGACGAAGTTGCCCTCTAGGGTTAATCCTCCCGACGAGCACCACGTGTCCGTCATAAGCTAAAAGCACCAATGTGGCAAGAAAAAAAAATATTAGTACTTGTGTGGGGGAAAAAAATATTAGAGAAAAAAAAAATTATTTTTACCTCGAGAGGGATGAGGTTGTCCACGTGGGTATCAAACAAAACAGAGTGCGCGTAACAATCCTTCTCCCCTGTCTTCGGATCGAGCACTCTGCACTCGCCGTTCGGCAGCAAGATATTCGAGATCCTCCAGATCGTCGCGTCGTACATAATCACCTTCTCCACCTTCGGCAGCAAGATCGAATGCATGGCGGAAACCCCGGAATTCTTCGAGAACAGCTCCCACTGCCCGTTGAACCCGCTCGGGCTCACAAACGGCTTCTCGTGCACCTTCCCTTTCATCGCCCCCAGACCCGCCGTCGTCGCCGCGCCGCCGCCGCCGGCGTCGTCCGCACCCATCAGTTGGGCGGGTTTTCCGGCGTCGGCGTCGGAGTCGTCATCGCCGGCGGCGGCGGCGGCGCCGGCGTCGCCCTTCTTTTCGATCTCCTCCACCTGCTGGAGCTCGCCGTCGATGGGGGTGCCGACGTCGTCGTGCATGCTGTGGAGCCGGGACTTGTAGTCGTCCGGGTTGCCGAACGGGTTGCCGAACCGCTCGTGGGGGCCCAATACGTGCTCCTTGTTGTAAAGCCCGAACTCTCTGGGCCTGAAGATCCGGAAGTGGCCCAACGCCGGGGAGAAGAGGAGCGGGAGGACGAGCAGGAGGAGGTTGATGGCATTCGCCATTTTCATTATTATTTTTTTTTCTCTCTAAGATATAATTGTTTTTTTTCCCGATAATTATTAATTAATACATTTATTTTATTTTCATAAGAAGAATGTAATAAAAACAAAAATTTTTTGGCTGTGTTTTTATTGTTGGGAGGAATGGGAGTGGCGAGAATGGGTTTTTTTTTTTATATAGGGTGGAGGTATTAAAAATAGGACCGCCGTTACCGGTTTGAAAAGTGGTGGTGGAGATTGGTTTTTGTCGGCCGTGTGAACGAGAGAGAAAGTAGGGAAGAGAAGACGCCGGCGTCTTAATCGCCACCCGTGAGATTTCACCAAATCGTGATTATGATGATCGTAATTAATGGTGCCAACGGGAGGACAAAGGGTACGGTCGTCGCTCTTCTACCGTTCATTTTGGGTCGGTACTTGTTTTAGAGTAGTGGTCGTCATTGTTGATTGGATCGTACTTTTTTTCTTTTCGTAATACACAATCATATGAGTTGGATTTAACGGTGATTGATTATGCTAAGATGTCATAGGAGTTGTTAGATGCATGCGGTTGTAATAAGTGACAAGTTTATGAAATAGTGTGCAAGTGGTAAGATTTTCAAACCTCCTCTGTAATTACCTCAGTTAAAAACTTAAAATCGATTGAGTTTAGATTTTTTTTTATATTCTTTCGTTCAGACGATTGTAAACCACAATAAACACTTTTAATCCGACTATATGTTAGCACCATAATAACCTGATTTCTCCAATTGGGAGCTGAAGCAGTACCCCATGTTCTACCTTGTTTTAATACGTCCTGGTTACCTACTATTCTAATACGAATAAAGTCAGATAATATCCAACGATGCGAATTCAAATTGTCATTGCCAATGGATTGGTGGATTCATTGATCAAGTGGATTGGATCAAATGGATTGGTGGATTCATGGGTTGGATTATATGGATTGGTGGATTGATCTCTAGATCCAAATGACATCCAAAACTTCGACCAAAATGTAAGTTTTGAAAAGTTTAGGTACTAAAATGTCGTAATAAAAATTTATGTGCCAAAACGTAATTTCCCATTGACATTTTTCGTATAAAAATAAATTTTAGATACCAAAATGTACAATACAAAAAGTAGAAGCACTAATTATAATTTGACATTTAGATCAAATAGATTGAATTTAAATGAATTATATTAATTGGATATTTAAGTGGATTAGATTGTGAATTTGCCACCTCTACTTCCAACGCCCTCCACCCCTCCCCCGTGATCGTGAACCTTCTTCTAGACTTGGGCTCAACTTTGCATTTTCCCCGCTTCCAGCCATTTATTGATTTGGGCTTTGATCATTCAAAGCCCAAGGGAGCGAAGCTTCGTGGCCCATGTAGGCCCACACAAACAAACCCTAGTCAACCCTCCGCACCCACCACCGTTGACTCAACCATAGGTCCTTCCACTACACCACCATCTTTCTCAGCCAGCTCTCCTCCGCCGACCATTGATTTTATTCAGCAGACTGCTACGGTGGCAACGTGTTTATTCCGGGAGAAGAACCCACATCCCAGGGAAAAAAACAGGGATTACTGTTCATTAGAAATGAACAGTAGATAACCTAGACAAACCCACTAATTATATAAGCTGAAGTGAATCAGAACCCAGTTCACCCACGGAAAAGCAGGCACAAGAGAGACCTTTGCTTTTTCCATGGCTAGATGCTGTCTCCTAAACTCAGAGACAAAAAATCCAAGCATAATCTGTAAACAATGGTCCATGTGTAAAGATGATATATATATTTCTCATTCAATTCTGTGGGCCAAAATGACAATTCATGAACAAGAGACTCCTCCCCCCATCAAATCAAATTGTGTTGATGACAAAGAAATTCTAGTTCTTTCCCCTTCTTAACTCAAAGCACTCTATCACTAAAGTAGCAGCAAAAAAAAAAAACTTGCTCCTTTTCAACCCACATGATCTTCCAGATTTGTAAAAAGAAGAAGAAGAAGAAGAAGAACACTAGACATGCATTAATTTATGAGCTAGGCTAGGCCCATGCTAAAACTCCAAAACACAGTACAGTAGTTACATTGCAGAGAGGCATCGAACTCCGTGGACTTTGATCTTATACGACGTCAAAGAGACAGCCTGAGCTCCAGGTCGAGTTCTTGACCGTCGCTTGATTCGGAGTTCTGACTGCTCGACCCATTTGAATAATCACCACTCCTGTGCTTCTTGCTCCTTGATGTCGCCTGATCATTTAAAGAAAACAAACAAATATACATCATAAGCGCCCCAGGCCGGCCAAGAGAGATTAGGTCATATAGATCTAATGGTGCAATTTGACTGTTGTTTTTTTGTGCATACTAGCCAGTTATATAAGTTACATGCATATAGGCTCAGAACTTGAAGCTAGGGTTAATGCCATAACCCATAAGTCTGTCTTACTGTCTATGTAATGACATATGGCAAAATTAGGGTTAGCCCAATTGGACAGCTGAGATATAGGCTAGCAATGTACATCAATCATCAATTATTAGACAGCTTTGACCCGAACCCTCTTCATTCAAAACCAAACCGAGACTAAGTTGATAACATTTTTTTTTTCTTTTTCGGTGGGGAGAAGAAAAAAATGCGCGCACGCGCTCTAACCTATATTATTGATCAAGCGAAAAATTCAGAGATCTCGTGTATGCGAAGTAATTATCTGCTACAAAGTTCTGCTCTCTCTCGCGTGATTAACATCCAAAAAAAACCATTCGAGCGCGCGGCAGCAAGCGAGAGAGTAAGTAAGTTACCTCATGTAGATTGAAAAGGTGCTTAGTACGCTGCTGATCATGATGCGACTCGTAGATGCTGCTGTCCAGATTCCAACTGATGAGAAAGAAGAGAAGCAAATTAAACATGGTATCTCATCAATAATCAATACGACTATAAACCAGCCAAGGAGGAATCAAACCCAATTTGGTTATGCAATGAGAATATTCTCCTACCTTGCAACAGTGGAAGGTTGTGAATCGCCATAATATCTGATATCGTTCGTTCTCTGATCATAATCTCCAATTCCCATCTGTCCCATGATGTTTTGGTTGTAGCCGTAAGAAGGCAGCTGATGAGGTGACGAATAAGAGAAGGAAGAAGGGTGATGATGATAATAGTTGTTTTTGTTGTTGTTGTTGTTGTTGTTGTTGTTGTTGTTGTTGTTATTGGTGGTGCAACCCAGTTGACCAGTTAGCCTGATCTTCTCCAGCTGAGCAACGCCGAGCCCTCTCTGCGGCTGCTTCGGCTTCTCTGATGATGAACTGTTGTTCTTCTTCCCCTTTCTCGACGACGAAGACCCACCACTTCCTCCATGATGATGATTTCCCATGTTTGGCTCTCCAAAATAACCACTGCCCATTTTCCTCTTCTCCTTCTTCTTCTTCTTCTTCTTCTGTTCCCTTGCCTGGCCGTGAACTTTTTTGACTGATGATGACACCTAAACTCTCTCTCTCTCTCTTACTGGTCAGAGATATGGAAAGCTAGCTTTAAGGGGAGGGGAAATCTGGAAAAGAACAGGAGGGAGAGATTTTCACTTACCAGACCAACCACTCCCTCCTTTTAAGCTGTTGTTGATCTTGCTTCTTCTAACTCTCTCTCTCTCGATTGAATTGAATTGAATTGATGGTGTAATTATTGCATCGCTGGATCGGATTGTGTAGAGATTCATTAGATATATATATATATACCATTTTTATATTTTCCTAGATTTTATCCCATTTCCCATTCTCTCTCTCCTTAATTACTCAAAAAAATGTATGGTCGGGAAGGGGGAAAAAAAAAATTTGAAGCTGGGTCGAACACTACTATAAGTAGTTTTTGAAAAAAAATTATTTTTGAAAATATAAAATTATTCCGATTTATTATATTTAAATTTTGAGTAATTTTTTTCTCTCAACTATCTTTATATTAAAAATTCTTACCAAAAAAAAAAATCTTTATATTAAAAATACACAAAAAAAAAAAAATAGAGAACTATAATTTTTTTAATATTCGAACCGACGCTATAGTATCATATAATATGTATTTTATTGCAACGATGAGCGATCTTTATCAAAATTATAGTAAACTCTGATCATCATGGTTAGTATAGCTCTCTGGTGATGTGACTTGAATCGGACTATCAGCCGCTACGACTGGTAGTCGGGAGGTCTGTATTTTTCGATTCTCGCTTTCGTATTCTTGCTTTATCGATTCCGGCGATTTTCCGATCCGTTCAATATTCATATCAGCTTGTATATATTAAATGTGAATTAGGTTGGTTTGTATTTATAAGGGTGTAAGGCCAGACCGATCAACTAATTTTTATATGTTATTTAAAGAAAAGAACGAGTCGAAATATAACTATTTTAGGAAATGATAATGAGAAAATATTTCTAAATTAATCAGAAATATAATAGAGGTAGTAATTGAGTTTAAATAATTGAAAGATAATATTTTTTCTCTTATTCCAAGTTGTAAAGAATTTAAATAGGTTTGTAGAAAGATCTAACAAATGAAAATGAAACTAAATATTGATACAAATTATTGTAAGATGAGGCATCATAGGTCGAAACTCGAAAGTAATAAACATGCTCCATTTCACGCAAATACGAATCATATACTACATGCTCCAAATAAATCGAGACAAATCAAATCGTACAAATCATATCATAAATGGTCTAATGCAAGCCTTGAGATAGAGAAAGTATTTATGTGAATCCCCATTATTCTTTCGAGGGTTTTATTTTAGGGTGCTCTTTGTTAGTTTGTTAATTGTTAATACACGTAGGCGGCGAGATGCATGCATATTTACCCCTTTTTTTTCCTTCACAAAATAATATAAAAAAAACAGTAGCAGAATTCTTGAACAGTTAAAAACTCTCATATATACTATTTGACCCACAAAATATGATCGAGGTAATTTTGTAGCAGATTTTGTTGTCCACTATTTGCAATTTTGCATGAGGTTTCTATGAATTTACGTGTTATAGATACTTAAAATTTCAATTTAGCCTATTATTTATGTATTACGCTTTTGAAAATTATAAGTCCAGATTTATTGATAATATAGTGTGTGTGTGTGTATATATATGTTGGATCCTTTTACTTCCTATTTTCTTTTTGAAAGGGGAAACCTCAAAGGTAATTATAATAACAATTCGACAACGATGTTCAGACCGATTAGGGTTAATACGTTCTGACGCGATCTAATGGTCGCGGACAATTACTCGGATTCAAGGTGAAGTTATGGTGATTAGTTATTACTTTGATGTAATTACTTGACTCATACGCTTAAGATTTTGGGTTCTATATTTTTATTTGGTTAAATTCTTGGAATTTAAATTGATGGATCTTCCCCAATATTTTAGCTGGGAGAATGTTTCGAGCTTTGATTACGTCATAATTCTTGCTGGATCTGTTTTATATTCATAACGATATATAGTAGATTTTATTGCTCAAAGGAAGTCGATCGTATCTATTAGATTCCGAGAGTAAATATTTATTTGACCTGGACAAAATCTTTACGTAATAAACCTCGATCGAGTTACCTCGAGATGGTTAAAAGTAAATTTTACAACTTTATTTTATTGTATATATATGCAATCACCTAAAACAAGTTCTTCAACCTAATATGGTCACCGTATACATATTATGCCATTACCAAATGTAGTGATCACACAACTACCATGTCTCAATTATGGTGGTTTGGAATGATCGACATATTGGTTTTATATCATCTATATATGACCTAAGTATGGCATCCATGTCATCGTCGAAAGCTTATAATTAACGCTCCTTATTAGGGTTTTCGGTGATAACATTTCTATACCAGCGGACAAACAAAAATGACAAGATAAACGATTTGTTAAGTACGACGGGTCCAAGCACAACAATGTTGGCAACTGTTTACCAGTAGTAATGGCAAGTTCGTGAGTACCAGGATGCGATGCGCCTACAAATAAGGACGCAATTTGGCTACCACATTTACCACTGCCAGCGTTCCTCTTTCAATAGGAGCATAGCGTGTTTTCCATGGCCCACTGGCGGATCCAGGGGGTGGCCACCCCGGGCCCCGGCTCCTCTGGATCCGGAGTTAGTATAGCGTTTATGAATTTTTCGATTTTGGTTATTCGGCCCAGTGTTATTTTATAATAAGATTGGGTGTAACTAAAAAAATGATTCAAATTAACATATTCAAATCACTACTATAAATTTAGCCTAGAAATTTTAGCTCCAAAGATTATTCTTCAAAAAAATAAAAATAATGAAATCTTAAATTCTAAAAGTCTAAAACAAAAGACTATAAGAAATATGAGTTTTGTTCCCTGAAAATTTACTAAAGCAGCTAGTGGATATAGGTATGGACACACAATGCACGATTGATTTGTCTAGCATTGACGCTCCTCGTATCACCAATTACTACGGGGAGAACCTTTTCAACAATGAAACATATGAAAACTGATTTGTGCAACAAAACGAGCGATGAATTTCTCGCCAATTGCTCAAGTATTTTATTTAAAACAGTGTATATTATTGGTATGGATGTGGACTCTATTATTGATGTATTCGTTAAATTAAAATACTGTCGTGTACAATTTATGTTGTAAAAAAAAACTATAATATTTTTTTACGGTTCTAATTTTCTAATGAAATGCGGCCCAGTGCTTTTTTGTGTTCTGGATCCGCCGCTGCCATAGCCCACCATTGTTTTCGGCTGTTGTAGTAAATCGAAAGCTCTTCGTTGGACCTTTCTTCCTTCGACATATAAGTCGACATTTGACGTCCCTTATATGTTTATCACGGTTCAAATTTCTTGAACTTCATATTTGATCCTCCTTGCACCCATAATTCTAGATCTACCGCTGTTCAATTATGGTTGATTGCATCATTATTAGTACGGAATCCTTATTATAACCAATTATAATGAAATCTTGTAAGGGTTTCCTATAGAATTATTAGGGAAGATTTGAGTGAAAAGTCGAGGGAGGATTTTGCATGAACAAACTGCTTATAAAATGAGTGGTTAATGGAACTTAATTGGGCTGGCAATCGAGGGAAGAGGGAACCAAATCTCAATTGAGCTGTTCCATGCGTGATTTGTGGGTCACATATACACACATATTATTTTTAATCTAGGGAGTTGTTTGGTGTGGTGGAAAAGGTAGGAGAGAATCCTCCAAAACTTCGTATGTATTAAACATGTGAACTTCATGCAATTACCAAACACTCCCTTTTTTTTACTCTTTTAGAGGCCTAAAAGATGGATGCCATTTGTCGATCCATCCATCATCATAGAACAATTCATTACTTCCTTGCTTCATAATATGATTCACCTTAAATATAAATCAATCATAGTGTGAAAATTGAAATAGAGTAAAAGGTCTTCAGTTGGTTTGGAATTATCTTATACTTCAGATGCACGGTTTTGCTCGGACAAAATGGTGACTTTCAACGTCACAGGGATATTTAGTGTGGTTGGGTTTTCATGGGGTTTTTATTCACATCACATCTTTAATTACTGGCTTATGTTTGATGTTCATGAAATTTCTGAGTTGCGATTTACTTTAAATGAAGGTTAGGACTCAAGACGCGCTACACACAATTAAAAAAAAAAACAGGTTTCAAGTTGATTATCGGAAAATCATTTCATGAGCAGCAATTCATAGAAAAGAAAATATAGCATGGCATCAACCATCTTGATATTCATGTTACACTCTCATTCGTCACATAAACAAAACTCGATGGAAAAAATAATGTTTCCCATATCCCCTTTTTAAACAATAGTACAAGTTATTATTCCTTTTCGAGCTTTCCGGTGTGAAGGATGATTATATACAGAGTACTATTGATTTAATGGTTTTGTTGGAATGGTCACAAAACTGTAAACTCTGTACAAAATGGTTACAAGAGTTTCATTTTGTACGATTCGGTAATATGTGTTTGGTTGTGTAATAATATGGTCATTTCTGTCCATCTTCATCCAAATTTTCTTAAAATTGTCCAGTCAGTAATCCATGTCATCCAAAAAATAATAAAAATATCAATCTCACTATCGAAACTAGCCAACTGAACTAACCTAACCCACCTGAAATGCAACTGATTTTTACTATTTTTGTTAGATTAGAAAAGAAGAGCAACTATCTTGTTTCAAAATGAAAAGGTTGTGTCCATTTGGTTTCAAAAAAAATTTAAAAATTTAGGTTTCAAAGTGAACTGTGTTTTTGACCGTCGAATTACAAAGTTGATAGTCGCTTCAATCCAGATTTTCTAATAAAAGTTACATCCTTTATAGTTTAGACAATGTTATATATAGTTTTACGTTCGATATTTGAAGTATGAAAACACAACAATCCCATTTGACGAAATTCGGAATACACC